TTGACTAGTATCAAGAAAAGAGCCTGACCAGATAATGTGGTGATTAAATTAGATATGACCAAAGCATATGATAGAGTAGATCGGAGGTTCCTAATTAAGGTTTTAGGAAAATGAGTTTTGATGTTGTATTTCTGGATATGATTTGAAGGATTATTGCTAACAACTGGTATTTTGTGTTGAGTAATGGTCAATCTTATGACTTTTTCATTCTACAAGGGGTGTGAAACAAGGAGACTCATTATCTCATGTGTTATTTATTATATCTGCTGAAGTCTTGACTAGGACCTTGAATAAGTTGTTTTACAACTATGAATTTAAGGAATTTGGGCTGCCTAAGCGGAGTGAACAGTTGAATCATCTTGCTTATGAAGATGATACAATTTATTTTGCTTCAGATGATAAAAAAAACTTGCTACTTATTATGAAAACTCTACATATGTATGAAGAACAATTAGAGCAACTTATCAATAAAATGAAGAGATTTTTCTATTCACATATCAAGGAAACTTAGACTTCTATATTGGTGGTGGCAGAGGTAACTCGATTTGAAAAGGAAAGTTTCCCACTAATGTACATGGGTTGTCCTATTGGTCATGCGAAGATGAAAAAAGTTTATTTCTCTGAATTGATCAAAAAGATTCTTGACAAGCTTTAAATGTGAAAGGGAAAGTTTTTATCTTTTGGGGGAGGGGGGGAATGGTGTTGATTAATCATGTTTTGCAAAGTATTTCAATTTATCTTCGTTCAACTATTAATCCTCTTATATGTGTGATCTATTATATCATAAGATGTTTGCGAAATTCTTATGGAAATGCAAAGAACAGGGTAAAGACAATCTCTAGATGGTTTGGAAAGATATTTGTGTTCTTAAAGTGGAGGGATGTTTGAGTTTCAGATCTCTATTTGATGTTTCTAATGCCTTATTTTCTAAGTGGTGGAACTTCAGAACCTCTAATTCTCTATGGTCTAATTTCCTATAGAACAAGTGTGGTAAAAGATACATGCCACTTGTTGTTAAATGGAAGGGAGGCTCACAAGTATGGAAGACTATGTTGCAGGTTAGAGAGTTCTTTGATTAAGAAATTTGGTGGGAAATTAAAGGAGAGTTGTAATGATCCTCCAGGTCATTTTCTTCATTTTCCGCTCTCTTCAGCATTTAGAGCTTTCCTTTAGTGATCACAAGTTATTTATGACTTGGTGGGACTGACAATTTGGTTATTGGGTCATTCGTTAAGATTTAGTACAAGTTTTCATATTTTGGAGCCTTTGAACTTGAATGGTTGGCTTCAGTCAAAAGTTTAGGAAGACGGTCTCAAAATGCAATTCTGGCGGTTTCATCAGCTACGAAAGGGCCATTTTAGGCTAGGGGAATGATTGGTTCGGCCCCCAAGACTTTTGGTGTGATTTTATAGCGTTAGGCGGGTTTAACTTTGAAGCGAAAGCTAAGGGTTGAATTCAATCAACATTCTTGGTAAACATGCTTCGATAAGAATTTTGTCAGCATAGTTAGCTCCGGAATGTTGAGTTTGGTCTCAAATGACCTTTCATGTAGTTCCTTAGGCTTACAGTCTCATTTTGAGCCTTCTTGTGGGTTTTAGCTTAAAAATGAAACTTGTGTTTAGGATCCACTTTTCATCAAAACAACCTTGGATGAGAGTTTTGATAGTTCTGTTGAGTCCGGAATGCTAAATTCGATGGGGGTAGTATATTTCGTTTGCACGCACGGGATTCTGAATGAATCCCAGACACCCCGTCAGAGAATTTGGTGTTGGAGCAAACCAACTAAAGTTTTGATATCTGGTGCAAACTTATAGAGACTAGATATCATACTTTTAACGACCAGATTTCTACTTTTAGCGACCACTTTCGAGTTTTACTTTCAGAAATTTCTGCTTTCAGCCCTCATTTTTAAAAGATGATTTCTCCCTCATAGGAGTTCTGATTTGCGTGATTCGAGGTTTTTTATGATCATTGGGAGCGTTACTACTTGGGTTTGTGATTAGAATCTATTGAGGAACCTTCGTTTGAGGTGAGATTTGCGCTCAAAGCTGCTACATTTGCTTGGTTTTCTTGTTAATTTTATTGTTTTTGTTATGACTATTTTTGGGCCTCGGATTGTGTTCAATTTGGAACACAAGTTTGAGGCATAGTTTAGGACCTCTTGATGGAGTAAATTTTGGGATTCTCAGCGCAGGTCCCACATTCTCATTTTGACTCAATATAGGTCCATTCTCAAATGGTTGCGATTTTAGTGTCAAAACATCTGTAATGACATTGTGTTTGATAATTTGATAGTTTGGTAGTGTCTGAAAGTGTTTCAGATTTGGATAGATCGTGTGTGATGGATTCAGAGGACTCGTGTTCAACTTTGAGGCAGGTTTCACTCTACTTTCTTGATTGAGCTTCTTAGATAATGCCTAGTATAGATTTCATGTAATTTTGGATTGTATTTCTCAGGTATTTAGTTTTCCTCTTGTTATTCCATTATTTCTTGATTTTGTAAGAGCCTTGAGATTATTGTTGGTGTTCGAATCCTTAGTTTAGACTATGGCTTCGCTCGTGGAGTATATGATCTTGCTTATCCTTGTTAGGATTGATTCGTGGTTTCCTTAGACTAGCATGAACATTAGATGGTTTAGGTTGTATTGTATCTCCTCGTAGTTAAGATTTGCTCCCTATAGGGCTTGTTTCTAGGTGTTTTTCTTGCGTTGATGCTTGTGACCTAGGTGGCTCATCGTAGACGTAGGTTGGTTCTAGTTGTCCTCAGTATGGGACTGGAGCGGTGTGATTAGGGTAGGGCATCGTCCCTTGAGTTTGCTCCCCCTTTATTGATTTGAAATCTCCTTTTCATCCCTTTGGTTGTTGATTAGGGGTGGGCGTTTTGAATCCTTATTGAGCTTATGATTATATTGTTGGGCTTGAGACCGTGTGCGAGGACCAGTTGGATCCTATGTTAGTACTCTCTACTTTGGTAGTGTGGTTTTAGTGACTGTATAATTATTTGATTTGGATTAACTTGTTTGAATGCTGGTGATGGCATGCATTACATTGTTTGCTGATTCTCATGGATTTTTCGGTACGATGCCGACCTATGCATTGGCATATTTATCGTTTATGATGAGACACTATTTTATTCTAAGCTGGTTTTAACGTGAGTGGTACTACCTGGAGCACTTGACTTACTGATTTTTGAGATTACGAGGTGCCATGGATGTGCTCCTTTTTCTACTTGAGATATTAGAGGCATCTGAGTTGTGCTCAGTTTTTACTTGACTATCCGGCGCATTAATGCCCTTTCTTGCATGCTTTTGGTGTTACTTACTCCCCTAGGTCACTATTTCTAGTTGGACGGCATAAGACCATGGGAATAGGCTGGATGATTTGGGGACCTTTGATACCTGAGATCCTCTTCGGAGTTGATACGCCCCTGAGTTACTCTTGCTAGCTGGGTGGCTTACGCCCCTAGGAGTAAACTGTGTGGCTGGGAGGCCTGGATTGATTTGTCACTCTTGCTACCTGGGCTGGGAGTTGACAATAGTCCTATGGTTATGGTTTCAGATGGTTTTGCTGCTCACCCTGCATTTTTATGCATTAACTATCACCAGTATACTTGATTGTTGTTTGTAGTCTCCGGTTTATAAGGGCCATTTGGGTTATGTTTGATGTTTGTACCTTCCGGGCTTGTGGGGGTCCGGTTAGTTTATTGTTTGACTATATTCTGTTCTCCCCTATTGTTTAATTGTTACCTGGTAGGTTTTGACTTATGAATTGTGATTATGGATCCTTTTGACACTGGGTAGTCGACTTGGTATCTTAGTTACTTGCGATTAGGTTGTTGTCTTGCGATCCAGGGGCGTTCTTGACCCGACTTCTTACCCCTTGTTTCCTATTTCTATTCTTTATTTTCTGGCTACTTTAGTATTTCCTATTTAGTAACTTGTGATATGATTTCCCTTGTTGTTTATGCTTGTGCTATCTTTTGAGTTCAGTCAGTCATTGCCTGCTAAGTACCGTTTTTGGTATTCATACTACACTTCTGCCCCCTGCAGATTGCAGTTGAGTTATCGCCGTTGATTTTGAGTTGTGTTGAGTAACTTGGGGTTTCAGAGAAAAGGGTGAGTTCCTAGTGTCTGGAGCTACCGGTTTCCGTCTATTTTGGCTAGGCTGAGTTTTTATATTATTCAGAGACAGCTTGTACTTGGCTTGTAATTGTGAAAGCCTTGTACTCCTATTTTGGATTAGATGCTCAACTACTACCTGATGCTAGGTCTTGGGATTGTTCCTGTATGGTTTTGTTGATTTCGTTTTCTATGCTTTGTTTGAAGCTCTTACTTTTGGTTTTTGGCTTACGCTTGGTAGTCTGTTGCTTTTTGGCTCTAGGCTACAAATTAGACTTACCTACTGGTGAGGTGTAGTAGGTTCCATCATGACTTGAGAAATCGGGTCATGACAGTTTGGTATTAGACTCTAGGTTGACCAGCATTGTTGGTATGAGAGAAAATGTCTAGTAGAGTCCTGCGGATTGGTGCAAAGATGTCTATATCCTATCTTCGGGAGGCTATAGGGCATTCATAGGAAATTCTGTTTCTGACTCTTATCATGTGTTTTCCCTTTGAGTTACCTATAAAACTACTTCTTTGGAACGTACTCTCTCCTTGGCTGATAACAGGAAGCATTTGATGGAAGTGGGCGGAGCATTAGCACATTCCACTAGAGTTTCAACACGTGATTGGGCTAGGAGGCTCAATCGGGTATGGACCTTGAGGTCGGAAGCATTCCTAAGCATTCAGAGAGTCAGGGGGAAAGGCTTTCGCAGGGTCTTTGGCTACCTCGGTTCCTTGGTATTCATTGTTAGGAGGTTCGAGCTCCTCCAAGGGTACACCTTAGGTAGGTGCAGTTCTTTGTGTAGCGGGGCCTCAAGTCATGATACATCTTCGTGGTGCCCGGATGAATAGAATATCTACAATAATGGGCCTCCCGAATTATCAACTAAATCACACCTGCAACTCTCGGGACACAAATACAACCTGCAAACCTCAAAACCTCATCTAAGTCTAAGCTAACCTGACCAATATCATTCGTTAAAACTGGATCTCGAAGTTCCACCAAGGCCCTATCCTCAAACTGACGGCTACAAATATGATTAAGAAGAAAGGACTGAACTCCCACATAGTCTAGAACACGCCTAAAATCCCAAACATCCAACCGAACCATCTGGTTAGCTAAGGACTGAAAGTCCAAAGCTAAAGGCCGTTCCACAATAGATGAGAAGGCTAGACTACCCATACTCACTGCCTTCTGATTCAAGGCATCCACAACCACATTCGTCTTGCACGGATGGTAGAGAATAGAGAGGTCATAGTCCTTCAGAAGATCAATCCAGTGACATTACCTCGAATTAAGATCCCTCTAGCTCATGATGTACTAAAGATTGATGTGATCAGTGTAAATCTCACAATGAACCTCATACAGGTAGTGCCTTAAGATCTCAAGCGCGAAGACTACCACCGCTTACTCTAAGTCACGATTGGGGTAGTTGTACTCATGTAGCCTAAGCTTCCTCGATGTATAAGCAATAGCCTGGCCCCGCTGCATCAATACACAACCCAAACTGACGCCGAATGTATCACAATAAACCGTGAAGCCCTCGTCCTCAACTGGAAGAGTCAATATAGTAGCAGTAGTAAGCAACTCATTAAGCCTCTGAAAGCTCAACTTACACTCTTCATACCACTCAAAGGAACATCAAGGGAGGTCAAATGAGTCAAAGGTGCTACAATAATGGAGAAGACCTCCATAAACCATATGTAGTAGCCTGCTAAACCGACGATGCCCCAAACCTCAACTGAAGTGGGCCTAGCCCAATCACGAATAGCCTCAATCTTCACTGGATCTACCATGATACCATCCTTGGATACCACATGCCCCAAGAATGCTACAAACTTAAGCTGAAGCTCACACTTTGAGAACTTGGCATAAAGTTGTTGATATCTCAAAGTCTCGAGCACAATCATCAAATACTACTCATGATCACCCCTGCTCCATGAGTATACCAGAATATCATTTATGAACACGATGATGAACAAATCAACATACAGTTTGAACACCCACATCATTAAGTCCATGAAGGCGGCATGGGCATTAGTCAACCCAAAAGACATCACTAGGAACTCATAGTGGCTATATATCGAGTCCTAAATGCGGTCTTAGGGATGTACGCTACCCTAATCCTCAACTGATGGTAACCAGATCATAAATCAATCTTCGAAAAAACTGCGGCACCCTGAAGCTGGCTAAATAGATCATCAATCCTAGGCATGGGGTAACGGTTCTTCACCATCACCTTATTCAACTGCTTATAATCAATACACATGCACATTATACCACCCTTCTTCTTCATAAACGGAATAGGAGCGCCCAAGGCGACACATTACGCTTGATGAACCCCTTATCCAAGAGGTCTTGAAGCTGAATACTGAGCTCTTTGAGCTCTGCAGGTTCCATCCGATGTGGTGGAATGGAAATATGCCGAGTGCGCGACTCAAGATCGATAGGAAATTCAATATTAGGTAGGCCAAGCAGGTTAGTAGGAAACACACCTATAAAATCACAAACGACTGAAATGGACTCAAATGAAGGGACCTCCCTACTTGCATCACACACTTAGGCCATTTAAGACAAACACCTGCTAGCCACTAGCCTCTGAGCCTGAATAAAAGATATTACTCCAACCGGTGTGCTACTAATGGAGCCCTGCCACACCACTAGTGGAATATCAGGCATGGCTAAGGTAACAGTCTTAGAGAAACAATCTATAACCGAGTGATAGGAGGATAACCAATCCATGCCCAGAATTACATCAAAATAAAGCATATCTAACAATATATGGTCAGCCCGAGTGTCACGCCCCTAGATAGTAACTTAATATGATCAAAACACTTGATCCATTACTAAAGACTCACCCAGAGGGGTCTTCCCACACAATGGAGCTGCCATAGGCTCAGAAATCATACCCAAACGAGAAGCATAATACAAAGACACAAAAGAATATATGTAGAACCAAGGTCAAAAAAGCTGAGGCGGGCTGATGACACAAAAGAATTGAACTTGTGATCACATTACCCGATGCATCAGCCTCCGCCTTGCTGGAGCTGCATAGAAATGGCCATGTCCACCTCTACCATAACCATGAATCCTACCACCTGACCTGCCTCCCCGGGGACCACCCTGAATACCATATTATACACCACAATGCTCTTGACCCTGACCTCGGTCTCTAGCTAGAGGTGCTTCTGGTGGAGCTGGTAGAGCTACCTATGGAATAGGAGCGATCTGTCTACGCATAGGGCAATATTTAACCTAGTGACCTAACTCACCATAGTCAAAACAACCTGAAGATGATATGCTCCCAGAAGAACGACCACCATGGCCTAAAGTACTAGTCTAGGACCCATGACTCTGGATAAAGCCAACCTCACTCTAGCTATACCGATCACCCTCTGAACTCTGCAATGAGGCTTGAACATGTTGAATAGGCAGACCTTGCTGAAACCATTGTCTAGCCCTATCATGTGAATCTCTGGGCCTTGAACGGGACCCACTATAGCTACCCTCATATCTAACTCTCTTGTCGCTGCCCCGTTAGGACTCACAACGGAGCTGCTCAATAGTGCGGGCATGATCAACAACATCTAGAAAAAAGCGACCCCTTGAGACCATGGATTGAGCCTCAATACACTACTGCAGTCTCAACCCACAAATAAAGCACTGACTCCTCCTTAGTGGGTAGAATCAGGGTAGCATCGAGGGAGAGTTAGTGAAATCTCGCCTCATACTCATACACTATTATAGAACCCTACTCCAATCTGAGGTGATCTCTAACATTGCGAGGAATCAACCTGGCCAAGAAGGCCTTAGAAAGCTCATTCCAAGTGACCGGAGGAGACCCAATTGGCCTATTCTCAGTAAATGTATGCCACCACTAGCTGTCTGACCTATCAAGCTGATACATAGTGAAGTTCGTTCCTCACGACTCCACGAGACCCAAGGTATGTAGCCTCGCACGAAAGTAGTCAGAAACTAGTGGGCATCCTCATCCACAACCCTAAAAAACCTCGGAGGTGAAAGCCTCAAGAATGCTTTGAGCATCTTCTGCTCCTCTAGGGGCATATCTCTAACTGCAATCACGGGCTGGATACCCCCAGGTGGTACATGGGCCTTGGGTGGCTCTATTTTAGGCTGATCCTACTGATCTAGTAATGGCATAGGTGCCGGTACTGTCACTGGTGTTGGTATTGGCGTTGGTGCTCGTGCTGGTGCCTGTTGCATACACCTAAACACTGTCAAAAGTTGCGTAATGGCTACCTAGAGCTCTAGAACATGGTTGAACATGGGCTGTTGAAGGATCCGCTGCTAGCTCTAGAACCTTCTCTCTAATTAGGGGTGGTGTTGCACCTCTATAAGACAAAACTGGTTGACCCCTATCCTGATCCGCCTCATGGTGCATACGAGGCATCTTGCGAAAGGAGTGAAGTAAGTGAGATTTATAGAAACCAATAACACACAGGCTGCACGAAAGCAGTACCAAAGAGAGGAATTCCTAAAGACACCTTGTAGCCTTCCAAAGATAGGACACATACATCTTCGTTTGATCCGTAGGACTCTACTAGGCATTAGCTTTGTATAAGTGAGACCAGTGAACCTGGAACTCTCATACCAACTTTTAACAACCTGACTTCCTGATTCATGATGGCACCTACTAAAACCCACCAATAGGTAAGGCGACCCGTACCTAGAACAAAAAGTAGTGTGTACAAGGGTATAACTAAATAGAAAATAATGTTAACAATAAGAAAAGATAAAAACAGAAAACAAACCAAAAACTATATACAAAGGAACCCTCCCAGAACCTGGAAGTCACGAGTACAAAGTTGGCTAACGAGATAAATATAAGTCCCTAAAGTTGACCACAACAAGCGGTATCAAAAAGGCAAACGACAAGCTAACATAAGTACATAAGGAGATAAGCTGATCCATTACGCCAAGTTCTCACCCTCGCCTCTAATATCCACAAGTTGCAAAAGATAGCACGAATGATTACCGCTGAAAGCTGGTACTAGAACTTGCATCGCAAAAAGATGAAGAGTGTAGCATAAGTACCAAGACAAGGTACTCAGTAGACATCATATGCCGACCGAGCACGAAAGGTAAAGACAATTTGATAAGATAGAATCTAGACACAAATAGAGGCCAAAATGGATATGAAAAGAAGGCACACGAGCATACCAGAAGTAAATCTAAGTTCAACTAAACTAAACCTAACTGGACCCCATAAGACCAGAAGGTACACTCGTGTGTAAGTTTAAATAAAACCCAAACCGACCTCCATAGGCCCAACATGTACACATAATAGCTAAGTCTACAAGACAAAAGAGTAATCCAGATCCAAATCCAAGAACCAATCAACTCCCAGCCCAGCTAGCAAGAGCGACAATCAACTCCCAGCCCAGCTAGCAAGAGTGACAATCAACTCCCAGCCCATCTAGCAAGAGTGACAGTCAACTAAACCAGTCAACTTCCAGCCTAGCTAGCAAGAGTGACTATTAACCCAGGCTGCCCAGCCATACATCCACTCCCAAGGGTGTCAACCGCCCAACTAGCAAGAGTGCCTCGAGGGCGTGTCAACTCCGTAAAATATCTCAGATATTCAGGCCGCCTAGCCAGCCCACTCCAAGGGGCGTCAACCGCCTGGCTAGCAAGAGTGCCCAGGGGAGTATCGACTTCTGAGAGGATCTCAAGTAGGCTCCAAGACATTGTGGATCGATGTCTACCCTCAACAATATCATAAAAGGCTCCAAGCCAAAATCACTCCAATCCCGAGAAAGCACACAATCTTAAGTAACGCATCAGAGCCGCATAAATAGGGAGAGGAGACCAAAAGGCTAACAAGCAATGCAAATGCCTAACTTAAGGTTGAATTGTATCAGACCCAATTATACTATTCCAGTCTACAAGGACCTAGTCCATCTGAAACGACGTTGGAGACATACCATAGTCACTAGGTGCATATGTTTATGGCAACACTAGTCTATCCTAGGCTAATGCCAAATCATGCTCCAAAAAAAAGTAATCAAACAAGTAAATCCCATAGCATGCTAAAACGCACATACAACCTTCTAGTAGCATGGTACTACTCTCGAAACAGTAGCAATCAACCCTAAATTATGGTCTCTAGCAAGAAAAGAAGGAATAACTAGGTACCCACCCCAATTCACACTCATCATCATGAATTCACACATTCAGGCTCAATCTAATCAGAAAACAAGTTGTAGCCTACCTGTAGGCTGATCATGCACGCTCAAAATCACAAGGCTGGATCTTTTCCCTTCGGAATGGCCTCTCAATGCTGCCACACTAGCAAAACAGGACCACAACAGTATATGGTCGTTTAGACATCAAAATCACCCAAAATAGAACATATCAATTTTTAGAATCAAAATAGTAATCGTGGGGTCCGAGCTAGAATTTCTAGAATTGAATCCTTCAAGAGGTCCTTAACTACGTATCAAACTTGTGTTCTAAAGATGAACACAATCCGAGGCCTAAAACAGCCCACAACAACACATGCAAAAAAATAAACAAGGGAAGCAACAAATAAAGATGGGGCCGCAGCTCAATCAAAAAATTCTCCTCAAACGGAGGTCCTTCAGAAGCTCTCGATCACTTTACCACATAGCCACACTCCGAAAGATCACCAGGACTTTGAATCACCCAAATTCCCAAGCTCAAGAAATTACATTTGGAAGAATAAGGGCTAAGCTGAAATTTCTGGGTCCCGAAACTGGTTGCTAAAAATAAAAGGTCTGGTCACTAAAAAGCCTGCAATAGATATCAACACTTCAGCTAGATGCTTAAACTCCGAATTCTCCGACGGGGAATCCGAGATTCGTTTAGAACCCTATGCGCGCAAATGAAATATGCTATCCCATTGAATTAGGCATTCTGAACTCAATGA